CCCACCTCGCGTGCTAATATCCGGACCAACAAAAGTGATTAATATAAGTTATTTAACTTGATTCATAATTGTTGTGAAATGAATAAGGATTGTTATCATTATCAAGGAAACTGCGAGTTCTCCAGCAATATTACTATAAACACTGAACGACGTAAACTCAGATAAAATTAAAGAGTGTAAATTGTCTTTAAGGTTGATTGAAACCTGTCTGGTAAAGAACCTTATATAAATCAAGGAAATGTATAGAAGTTCTATTATTTAACAAAACCAACGTACGAATTTACGTGCTGCAGCGTTTCCAGACTGTATTGTCTCTTTATAAGTTATCCAACTATTAAACTTGGAGCGTTGCTACACGTTTAATCTTTGGAGTATAATGTTATACAAAGTTCCAAGCTAATAAGATGAATGTTATTACAAATATGTCCAGTAAATCCTGATACTTCAGAAAGATAATGTATAAGTGCTTCGACTGTGTTGTGTTACCACAGAGGTCGGTGAGACTGAAATTTATTCAGAAACTCAATCAGGTTTTTAAAACAGTTTTTTAATGAAGTAGTGACTGTTGTTTTAATGTAGGTTATGGTCATAGAGACCCGTATTACGTTTATCGGAGGTCAAAAACTTTCCACCGAAGACGCCATTTTGTAAACACATGACGTCATGTAGTCTGTCCTTACTGTAACGTCATAACTATAATGTCATGTAGTCTGTCCTTACTGTAACGTCACAAATATAATGTCATGTAGTCTGTCCTAATTGTAACGTCATAACTATGATGTCATGCAGTCTGTCCTTACTGTAACGTCACAACTATAATGTCATGTAGTCTGTCCTTACTGTAACGTCATAACTATAATGTCATGTAGTCTGTCCTAATTGTAACGTCATAACTATGATGTCATGCAGTCTGTCCTTACTGTAACGTCATAACTATAATGTCATGTAGTCAGTCCTTACTGTACAATGTAACGTCATACCTATGATGTCATGAAGTCTGTCCTTACTGTAACGTAATAACTATAATGTCATGTAGTATGTCCTTACTGTAACGTCATAACCATAATGTCATGTAGTCTGTCCTTAATGTAACGTCATAACTATAATGTCATATAGTCTGTCCTTACTGTAACGGCACAACTATAATGTCATGTAGTCCGTCCTTACTGTAACGTCATAACCATAATGTCATGTAGTCTGTCCTTACTGTAACGTCATAACTATAATGTCATGTAGTCTGTCCTTACTGTACAATGTAACGTCATAACTATGATGTCATGAAGTCTGTCCTAACTGTTTCGCCATAACTGAATAGAAATAAACAAATTACACTTACATGGTAAACAGGCAACAACATGCCTGTAAACAGTTAACCGTATTCGGTAACATTTAATCTCCAGACATGATGTACACAGTATATGCATGAACGTTAGGTTAATGATCGGATCTTGAAGCCATTGTCCAAAGAATAAAATATTCCCAATATTTCAGTTTTCTATTCTTAAAATGATCAGCACTTATTGAAAATAATTCAGCTCTGTCAATTATTCTCATAGAAAAAAAGATTTCGGGATGCTTTGTATTATAAACGGCTTTTATCCCGTTTTGTTTACTGTAATATACCCGGGTTTCACTGTAGATAAACATTTCCTTTCGCGGTTTTATTCACCACAGTTTCACAAAGTGTATAAAACTGTTTTAAAAAATAATATTATAATTAGTGTTG